TGGTCACAAAGCGTTAACGTTAATTATTACAAATTAAGGAATTACGGAATTGCATGTTACTACAGCAACACTATAACAATATTTTATATTTTTCAGTTGACCATATAAAGTATGGCATGTTTCCAATTATAGAATGAACTCGTTTACTTTATCCGCGTACACCAGTCAAAATTTACCGGAAAATTAATTTCAATTCCAACTCCGATTAGTGTAGCAATAAATATCAATTGAATTAACATTAAAGATTATATTTCAAATAATTGGCGCTTACAAGTGGTAATTTGTTTGCTCCATCGAAGGTAATCTCACAATTCGTGGTAATGTTAATTTTTCATTATTTTTTTAATTAGTATTCCTGTTCTTTGGTAAACATTACGATTCAAGTAAATAAGATGAAATTGTAGAGAATGAGAATAAAATCGAATGACTGAAAACTAATATTTAAATTTATGTATAACAATCATGACCACCTAAAAGTTGTTATTTTAACTATGGATTGGAACCGTGCACAAAAACTTTATCCGGATATCTGTGTCCTTTTAAAATCGGATATCTGTTTATACTTTGTTTTATCAGGTTTCAACCGGATGAAAAATAATATTGAATTAATGGTGAATACTGTATATTGTTACGCCTATCCTATTTATTTAGAACACAAAGATGGATAAAGTTAACACATCGAAGTAGGAAAGTTTCTCTAAGTGGGTTTCTAAAGGGATTGTCCAATAACTACGGTTACTATTTATGTTAAAGGTAATATAAAGGGGGGATGATTTTTGAGAATATGCAATTTTTAAAGGACAGAATCATAATAATAGTATTTACGGTTATGGCGAGAGATGTTTCCCAAAGTCGCGAGTTGGATTATCGATCGAATTTCTTTATGGTTTTTGGTGTTGAACACAGTTTCCTTAACCTAGAAGGAGAATCAAACAAAAAAAACCAAAATAATTGCTTTCTTCTGGGAAAAGCGACAAACTCGAAGTTGATAATACTAGCAAAAGGTAATTCCTTCTAATTATTTTGAACTTTATTAATCTTTAACTTATTCTTCATTAAGGCTTAAGAACATACCTTAATTTTAGTACACAAATTTAGTCTATTCTATAGGAAATGTGCGAAAAGTTTCATGTACTTTAAAAGTTGTGTTCAATACAATCACTATAATTAATTGGATATGTACTAAATTCATTAATTTGAAATTATTAAGCTTAATTTTTCTTTTTTTCTTCATTTATCTTCTATTGCATGTATTAAGATATGATTAATTATTTAGAATGGGAGAGCAAGATGTCACCTTCTGAAAGACTGTAGGTTCTATAATTTTTAATTATTGCCTATTTATTTTATTTATATATATAACTTTTATGCAATTGTTGTACTTTTCTTATTGTTATAATTTCGTTTATCATATAATATAACTTTATTATTACAATTGTGAAATAAAAATCAATCACTATTAAATGTTAATTATTTATTAAAAGTAGATAATAATAAGAAAAATAAAAGAATCTCTAAGTATAATACTAAAGTATAAATATTATAAGAATTTCACAAGAATTTCTCTGGATCAAAGATAATAGTTTAATGTATTTGTTTTTGTATTTTATTATTATATTGAAATTCTTAAGAACATTAATAAGAATTATTTGAAAGAATATATTATATCAAAATAAATATGTAAAGATGAAATTTTTTAATAATAGTTGTAAAATTTCAGTATTTTAAATAGAAATTTTAGATGTAATTATTTTCAGCTTGACATTCTATATTATATATATATATAAAATTAAATTAAATATATTAATTGCTTATAATTTATATAAAACTTTATTTAATATTATTATCATAGTAATATAAATTTTTCTAATTCAAAAATCTTTCTTTAATTATATGAAATTTTTCTTTTTCTTTATTTCTCTAATTTATTATATGACTAGCATTAATTTTATCTAATTATATAATTATATTACTTATTATATTTATATTTTAAATATCATATTTATTTCTTATTCTTATTTCTATATATATTTTATTACTCTAAATTTGAGATTTACTTTCTTAATTACTAATATATTATATTAATATTAATATTTTACATATATATTTATTATTAGTAATACTTCATAAATTAATTAGTTAATATATTTATAGGTTTCTTCTTTTATATTTAGTTTTTTTAAAATCTTTAATCTCAAAATCTTAATTTCAAAATATTAATATCAAAATCTTGATCTGAAATTACAATATATATATTAGATAGTATTAACTAGTAATACTATGATAATTTTTATATTCTAAAAAATATATAAAAGAATCTGCTCTTTCAAATTAAAATAAATAGGTTTGAATTCAATTATTTGAAAAATATAATTAAAAGCTTATTATTATAATGATAATAATCTTTTAATTTCATTTCTAATTATACTAGTATCCTTTCTCTCAGTCAGTTTTATTTCTTTAATTATATAAAGTTGATTTTTAATTTCTATTATAACATTATATTAAATTTGATTTGAATTTTTGACTTTAATATTTTTGATTTTGATATTTTTGTATTTTTGATTTATATATCTTTACAATTTTGATTTTGAATTGATTATTTTGATTTATATTTTTGTTTATCTTAGTTATTTCACAATTTGGTTTAGTTTTCTTTGATTAATGATGACTTTACTTATTAATCATCATAAATCTTTTGATTTATTTTATTCTTTACTTTTATAACTTTATTACTTTTGTAATTTAGTTCTTTTTATAACAATATCTGTAGATATTGGCACAGATCTTAGAAATCTCTGCTAATATTTTTCTTTCTCTCATTTTAGATATCCACTATTCAGGAGCACTATAACAATATATTTAATAATATATTCATGAGAATAATATGTTAAATAACATATTTATAAGAATGAATAAAAAATGATTTATTTAATGATACATTTATGGAAATAAAAAAATGATCCATATTTATGAAGATTTTTAATTAATTTGTAAAATAATTTATTTAATAATGTATTATGAGAAAAATTAAATATTAATCAGTTTTAAATTAAAAGTTTAAATTAAATATACATGATTTGCATTAAAGTTTAAACTAGATATATTTGAAACCATGGTTTAGTTTGAAATCGCAATTTTAAAATTCAAACTACATGTATTTAATTTGGTTTATAAACCAAACTATAGTTTAACTGGTTCAAGCCAAATCATTAACATTCCTAGTTTGATTTATATAGTATATTGCTTTTCCAATGAGCAGTGCAACTTCTTGGATTACGAAAGGATTATGAAATTCTTCACGCATATGTCCAGAGGCATGATTTTAAAAAAAGATCAAAGAAATCTGACCTGGATAATATAGAAAAATGTTTCCTTGATCGTGTCGTTAATCTTATTCACTCTATAATAAATGTTATTGTATTCCCTGCATAAATGAATTTATTAAATATAAATCGTTACATTTCTAACAGCTATTCTTAGAAGGTTTATCAGTGATTTGGCCCACTATCAATATAGTTCTTCATCTAAACACATTCATCTGTATCTTCTATAGTGAAACTAGCGATGATTAAAGGAAGGCGTGAACACAGCAGGAAACAGACCGACGGAAAAAAAGAGATTTCCAAAAGCGACTTGTGAATTTTGCATCTCTATCTGATATTATGACTACGGGTAAGCTAAAAATGGCTATAACATCGAATGGATCATTACCTGTTCGGATATTATTCACAACTCTACTCCCCTCAAAAATGTACAATGTCGTAAAAACGTGAAAAGACTCCTTTGATAATGTAAGTCTCCGTATTTTTTAACAAATGGGTGCAAAACTTGGATCTCTGTTTGTTACATTGCAGGTCATAAGTAACCTACCAATTCTATAAATTCAATAAAATGCTTTAATGTTTCACAACACCATGGGAATTAAATAAAAAATTTTCAATTTAAAACGAATTAAACTTGTTTAAAAGATCATCGACATACTTAATACATGATCATGTAAATGTAATGCAATGCAGTGCAGTTTCAGTCTTAAGGAAAAATAATACCTAAGAGTCCTGGTAAATTACTTATTTGTAAACAATTATTGTATTTTAATTCTGCGATAAGCCACATTTACCCAATGGACACGTGCAGCTGTCATCTTTGTTGTCTTTTTATATGAGAATTTACCTTCCAAACAAACAACCTGTTCACGGTTCGGTTTTAGCATCATGAGATCCAATTGCAATTACTCCTCGGTTCTGTCATTATCAATAATGGTTTGTCTCCATTTTAATGCGGATTATTGAGATTTCTCAATATCCCATTATTTAGTTTCATTTTAATGCCCGATAAATTATATTTTTCATTAAGAGCTTACTCCATATCGAATATTTCTCTTGATGTCTTTTACACAGTAGTCATATCTTGAATGTTATTTGAATAGTAAGTATATTTGGATGTACATGTACATGTATAACAATATTGGTGACCTATTCGTCCATAATTTATTAGTAATCAAACTGGATTAGGGGAGGATCTTTCTTTTCCGAGGTAACATTTAGCACAACTAATGATGTCCTTTTCGAGAGTGATAAAAATTATCTTATTGAATTCTTTGTTACATGTAATACATGTACCTACTTCCAAATTACTAACAACACACAATATTAATTTTTATAGAGATCTTCCGTGTTACTTTGCGGTGAAGTGCATTTGTTCAGTGTACTAATTTTAGAGGTTATCGAGGCCTCAATCTTTGCGGTTCTAGATAAGTCTTCGAATGAGATTTTTTCTCGTGGTTTTGCGCCAAACCTGAGTTCACTGCTGCATAACGATAATCATCAGAATAATACATATATTTATGCATGTCGGTTCGTTCGCATAAGGATACGGTTCCAAATTATCCCTTTACATGTATATGAAAATTTAATTATAAAAAGAGAAAATTTAGAACAACCATAATCATAATAAACTCATAACAAAATTCTAATAAAACTCATTGTGTGTTCATTATTATGGCAGAAAAAGATAAAAACACCTCAAATGAAACAATATCACAATACCTGAACGAACCATACCTTCGGGAAAGAAGATATAAACTTATTAAAATACAAAAAAGATTCAAAAAATGGAATTTTTACCAGAATTCGATTTTTAAACAAACGGTCTTTTTACTTCTTTGTTCTTTAATTACACTTGCATTTGGTATTTATCTATACAATTGGGGGAAAAAAGACACGTCGATAAGCGTTGCTAAAAATGTTGTCACAGTGGTACTTTTTGGCGGTGGAAGTATTGGGACTCTTATTAGAAGTTGGTTCTCTCTCTCAAGCCTTTTCCTTTATTATGAAGCAATTGATGATGACGAAGTAGCGAAGAAATTTGATGATAAAGCTATTGAGAATTCTATACTCAATGAAGAGCTTGAAAATATTAAAAAGGTTTTTTTCTTCTTAAAAACCATTAATAACAATATACAATACATGGAAACGGCTCGGACTATATACGCTTCTCTAATGGCATGTGCAATTTTGGTCTTGACCGTCATTTCTATCTTTTTCCTGACTTCTAGTCCGAATGTCTATCTATTTCAATGTATGATTATCACTCAAATTAGTTTATCTTCTTTATGTCTATGGACATCCTTTTTTGTTATGGTTGGCATTAAAGTATTCATTCCTTGGGAGGAAGAAGAGGAAAATAGTACGGCGAAAAATGAAAAGATAGCGGATACAGACAAGGAGATAAAGATAAAGTATATAGGGGACGAGAAAGTGGAAAATGAGAATAAGTTTAGAGAATCAATTCCTTTAAAGGAATATTTTCAGGGTTCCCTTAAATTAAAAATTTTAATGGTCTTTTTCTTTCCTATTCTTTTTAAACTTGGTCTGGTGTCCATTAAAATGGCTCGGGATGTGAAGTTTATCGATCGTCTTAAGTCCATCGAATTTGAATTAAAAAGAATTACCATGACTCGAGATGAGGTGGAATCTGTCAAACGCCTTATTTTTTGCGTTTCGATGAAGGATAAGGAGGTGCAACTTGAAATTAATGATAACAAACTATCAAATACCAGTACAGCCAATGATAGGAAGGGACATACCAACAAACAATCAAATACTGTTAATGATCAGAATGACCATACCGCGTTAACCATATCAGAAGAAAAACAAGCTGACCATCGTCAAGCACATTAGATTTTACTAAAACTACAAGCTATTAATATGAGCTCGTAGGGATTGATTTATCTAGAAATTTTTAATTTTCTTGAATGAGAAATTGTTTTTAAAACACACACCGATTAATAGCTATTAAATTGTTTACTATTTAAAATTCATCGTTTAATTCAAATTATTATTATATATATTACCTATAATACGTTTAATACATTTAAATGGCAGCATGTAGGATTTTTAAATTCCGTAAGCATTTGTAGGGAAACGCGTCCAGTTGCATACGGAATGTATTCTTGACACATTGCTGAAAATTGCTTACACTTCACATAAACTTCCTGATACATTTTTCCCATAGGGTTCATTTGACACATCAAATTTATGCTCGAATTTAAATTTATTAAACTTTTTTCCTTTGCCAAACATGATTTGAAAAAACCAGATGACTGCTTAAGATTAGGTACTTCAATTGTTCCAAATGCGACATTTCCCAAAATTCAATTTTTAATAAAATTGACAGATTCAAGCTCATCAAAATATGTAACTCTAAGCGAACCTAACAAATCTCGCACTTAGAATTGTAAAAGAAAGAAAAATTCGTTGTCTAATAAAATTGCATTGGATATTAAAAATCTGCCAAGACAATTACAGCAGATCACATGTACATAAATCAAGATTACACATTGTTAACGTAATCGTAATACCTTGTCAATTAAAACAGGTGTTGTACGGGGTTTTGAGTCCTGGGTTTTTTGAGTTGGGGTGCAAATGACTTTGGGCGCTTTCGTTAATACAACATGTACTAATTAATGTGTGGTCATAGAGTATTGATGTTAATGAGAGAGGAAGGAATGAAAACAATTCACCTTATTTTACTAGAATAATTTTTAATATTAAGCTTTTCTTTTAATTATAATAGTTAATGTTGTTATTAAAATGAACTTATTAAATTAAATTTTCCATTTGAAACTCGATATAACGGATGGGTTCGTGCAATTAGAGAAAAAATATTTTATATATACTGTTCTGGACTTCGATCCATTATAGTGAGATTTTAATTAGATCCGTTATATCGAATATCCGTTATATCAAGTTTCACTGTGTACAGAAATACCTTCGTGAAATTACATTTTTTAATAAGTGTAGACATTACAAATGCATATATTAATAAATCAAAAGATCCCAGTGAATTTTTTGATGTCACATTCTCCGCAAATTCTTGTTTTGGTAAAAAAAAGCGAAATATTTATAAAAATACATCAATATTGTTGTATGTCAATTAATAAATTTAATTATAGGACAAACTATGGATGCTATACATAGAGAAAAGTCTCAAACTTCTATCTTTTCATGATATATAAATTATTTTTCATTACAATTAAATTGCTTTCTGTCAATATCGATATAAAATCGCGATATGTACCATATATCTATATTCAACTTGATTTATAAGTGACAGTAAAAATAAGCTTAAAAAATTCTATAAAAAATATTAATCATCTTTATCACGGACATCTCAAATATCCGCATCCGTATTAACTAATTAAAGATAAAAAATGCAGTAAACCAAATTCTAACATAACTAACTTATTTTTTGACATGATACATCCCAGTTCGCAAAAAAGACTTGAATAAATTTATCGATATACATGCAACATCTTAAGAATAATAAAAAGGATTATATCAACACACATCACATGTACATGCGTGTGCAGTATGTACATAATGCTATTGAAATTAAAAGTTTTATTTATATAATAAAAAAGGAAATCTACGAGTTTATCTATCTATCTATCTATATATATATATATATATATATATATATATACTTTATTATACCAACATAGTGTACATAATGCTATTGTAATTAGAATTTTATTTATATAATAAAAAAGGAAATCTGCATATATATATATATACTTTATTACACCAACACATAGTGTACATAATGCTATTGTAATTAGAATTTTATTTATATAATGAAAAAAGGAAATCTGCGAGTTTATCTAAATAATAATGCATATATATATAGAAACTTATTATACCAGCACATATGCGTGTGCAGCGTGTACATAATTAAATCTTTATGGTTATCGTTATGCTTTTTAATTTCTATGCTAAAATATTCAATTGAATTTTTTTAGTGAAACAATGTAATACAAAATTACACATTATTCCAATTCTGTCGGTTTCTGTACTATTGTAAAATGTTCATAAAATATATCATAGTAAGTACTAGATACATTATTTTTTTAATTTAATATACACGTATATGAATGTTCTTCAAATGGATCATTATAACTTAAATCTAATATGGAAATATAGAGTTTTCTTGATCATTAATTGGCATCATAGGTGACTCTTGCAATAAACTTGTTGCATTATGTTCTGATGTATTGTCCAAGGATGGCTTTTTCTTTTTATTTATTTTTCGTTGCAAATCAGAAGGCTTGATAATACGCCATTTATTCGAATCCTCAAAAGAAGGAATAAAAGCATGTTTTTTGGTGTTTTCGCGGAGCTCTTTGGCAATTTTTTTATATTCTTGCTTAATCGGATCAGCAAGGACCTTCCAGTTTTTCGATGCCTGTCGAGATATTTCGCTTGCGCTAAGACGAAATCCATGATATATTGAAATCTCTTTAAATGCTTTTCGGTACAATATAAAACTATTTGGCGGCTTCTTTGAAGATTCATTCAAATTGTTTTTTAACATGCTGACAAGATTTTCATCCAGTGGATATGGCACGTCAATTTTATTAAGATCTATCGAATTGAAACTTTCGTTTCGAATGAAAGAACTAGAATTTTTGTTTTGAAAATCTTTAGGCATTTTATTTCTAAGTATCAATTTTAGCTTGTGATATCTTTTTTTAAAAAGTTGGTTTGTTCTCATGTAGCTATTTTATAGCATTTGTTTAAGCTTAATATATTTAGACTACACATATTCATTCGAGAACAGATTGTATGATTTCGGGGAAAATTTATTTATTCTAATAATAAGACTACGGTGTTTCAGTTCATTGACAAACAATTCTTTATTTATCGTTTAAAGTACATACATGCATGTTGTCGTCGGCGGTATCAAATTTATTATTGAGATGATGTTATTGTGCCACATCAAGACCAATACTCCACAATGATTTTGATGAATTCAATACCGATTTTCTATGCTTACTGATTTGTTATCATTATTTTTAGATAAAAATAACATTTTAAATTGTTGTTCTAATAGGAAGAGAAATCGCTCTTTCTTTGTATTCTGAAAATAATTCATTCCAATTTTTAGAACATGATAAATTTAAATCCTCGCTTTTCACAGACAATCATACAATTTTTCATTAGATAACGATAATTAAAAATTAAAACACAAGTGATAAGAGCAGCACATGTGTGGCTGTATTCCCTAAATCCCGCCATCACAAAATTATGTCCGTTACTTTATCTACTTTATTGTTATGTTGTTTGTCTTAATTGGAAATAATCTATTTAAGACACACTAAAATGTTTATATTATAAAACATATAATTAATATAAAATTTATTATGTGATTATATAGAGGTATAATACCGATAATAAAAAAATTGATTTTATATGTCTCAAAAAAAGAACCCGGTCACTTATCTTGCGTCCAGTGTTCCGATTCTTATGAAAATCCCATTAATCGACTACATGTATCATAGTTGAATCTTTCAAATCCTACTTGTTTATACATGTAGAAAGAAGCCTTCTATCTGTTGCTGATTACAATTATGTACCAATTTTATTTTTAATAAAATAAAAGAGCTGTGGATATTTGTGAAGTAAAATGATTGATTCGCTAACGAATATACATCAGTTAGTGACAGTTTTAAAACTAAAGTCATTAAACCTTTTTTCGTATAATAACTATTTTGAGAACTAAACTAGAAAATATTAAGTAAGTGAGATTGAGCCAACAATTTAAAGAGTTTTGATATAATTCAACTCCTATATTAGTAAAGTATAGAGAAAATCACAAGATAAATAATTTTCTTGTGTTTTAGTTATGATAAAATATAATTCAAGCTATATGTATTGAAGTTACTTTTTACAACAGAAGATAAGATTAATTATATCATTATACAGATCAGTAGCTGAAGCTAAATATTATATAAGTATTCTATATTTATAATAAGATATATATTTTCAAAAAATAATGATTGATTTTAGAAAGATGATATCAGATCTCATAAAATAAAGAATACAATTGCATTTTCATATAAAAAAGATTCTGTATATTCTTGCTTGATCTGCTTAAAGTTCAAATCTCAATTCAATTAAGAATTTATAAATTAAGATAAAGAGAACTTTTAAAAAATGAAAGAAGAAATCAACTAATCTTACAGATCTTGATAAGTATATTAAAAATATATAGAAAAAGATTTCAAAATGTATGATTAAAAATTTAGTTAATAGTATATCAGCATGAATTCAAATAGTAATTGTAGCAGAAGGAGATTTAACTAAGCTCTAGTTATATAATATGAAATATAGAGCATAGTAAACTTAAAATAAAGTCTTATTAGTGATTTAACATTTTTTACTCTAAAAATTAAAATTTTTATTGAATAAAAAGCGTTCAGAAACTTTTGATAGCTCTCTGTACTTTAAATATAATATATTTATATTTTTCTTGAATTATTATTACATTTAATTCAGAAAGTTTAATTGATTAAAGAATTATAAATAACAATAGATATAACAAGAATTATAAGTTATAGAATGAAATATTACTGATCTTATATATTTTACTTTCACAGAGATTATATAATATTTCAAATTAATATTAATTTTTAATTAACTAATAATAATTTACTAATAGAACATAAAAATAATATAGATATTTATTAAATATAATTTAAATAATATTTAATTCATATAATAATAAAATAAGTTTATTTCTAAATAATAAATCATAATTTTGTTAAATATAAATGAAATAAAGTTATCAGATTCATTTTACTATTAAAAAAATAAAAATAAAAATGTAATTAATATATAAAAATAAATTTTTTTATTTTTTTAAAATTATATATTACTTATTTTTCTAACTTTATAGAGCTATTCTATATACAGTTTTTATTATTATATATAGTGATGATCAAAAATAATATAATACAAAATTAAAAATTATTAAATTATAATATCTTTATACAAACTTAAGAATATTAAATTATAGTTAATGGATTTAATTATATATATAAATAACTTAAATATAATATATTCAATATAAATAATTAAATTAATTATATTATAATTATAATATTTATTTAATTTTCAGTATTTATTATATTTACTTATTTTTAATATAAATTTATATAATTCTTAATATAAAATAAAAATATCATATTTTTTTTTATTTTTTAACTATATCTGATATACTATTATCTGATATAATTATTATATACTTTTATATATCACAAATTCTTTCTGGCATAAAATAAATTAAATTTATATACATCAGGAAATTTTTTGGAGTGATTTGTATTAATTTTTATTATTAGTTATATATTGATATATATCAGAGTTGTCAATTCATATCAAAATAGATATTTGATATATATAAAATATATATTATTTAATGAAGTATATCATTAAATATCATTATTTAATGATATATATTATTAAATATCATTATTTAATGAAGTATATTATTAAATATTATTATTTTATGATGTATATTATTAAATATCTTTGTTTTATAATATATATCATTAAATATTATTATTTAATAATAAATATTATTAAATATCATTATTTAACAGACTAAATTATTAAATATCATTGTTTAATAATATAGATCATTAAATATCATTGTTTAACAGTATAAATTTGTTAAATATTATTATTTAATAATATAAATTATTAAATATCATTATTTAATATAGACTATTAAATATCATTATTTAATAATATAAATTTATTAAATATTATTATTTAATGATATAAATCATTAAATATTATTATTTAATGATATAAATTTATTAAATTAACTAAATATTATTATTTAATAATTTTTATTATTAAATTAAGAATTTTTTATTATTAAAACAAAAATTTATTTAATAAATATATTACTTTAAATATAATTTTAATAATACTTAACTAATTAATTAATATTTTTGTTTTCACTCTCTGTAAATAAGTTATTTATTACATAAAAATTATATATTTCTTGTTGAATAGTATTATTATTTATATTATTATTATCTTCATCATCTTTAAGTTCTAATTTATTTTTTTTATCAAGTTTTTTATCTTTAATAATACTTATCAAGTCTTTAAATATTAGATTTATATTTTTTTGATATATTTTCTAAAAGAAAATTAATATTAGTTATAAAAGATTATATATAGTATAAAGTAAAAGCTTACTTTATATTTATCTATGTGGTATTGCAATAAAATTCTGCTTATTTAAATTGATAGATAATTTAAATTTAGTACAATATTATATATACTTACAATATATATATAAATTAATAAATAGTAATTTTTCATAAAGAATAGAAGATAATATATGTAATATAATTAATATTACTAGTACTATCATTTTCAAGTTGAAATAACTTATTATAATATTCAGTTACTTCTAATAATTCTTTTTATTCAGAAATTTTCTTGAAATTTTTTAATTATTAATTAGAAGTAAGCTATTTATTTCAAAGATATAAAAAATTATTTTCTTAACTATCACTATATTAAAATCACATATATCTTTTATTTTTCTTATAATCTAATTAAGATATAAAAATTATCAATAAAATTTAATAAAATTATAATTATAATAATTATTACTAAGTGATATTATTCAGAAAAAATATTAATCTATTCATATTTTCTGATTTCTTGCAAATAATTAAGATAATTACAGTTGAGTCAAAATTCAAGTTTTTCTTATAATCATTAAATTATGATCATAATTTAGTTAGAAAAAAACTTGAACAAATATTACTATAACTATCTTATAATTATTTAAATTTTAAATTTAATAATATATATAAGAGAATTAAAATAATATATATTTATAGTTTGCATTTTTTTACTTAAATTTATTTTTTTATCTTATTTCTTTCTTATTTGTATCTCAATTCTTTCTAATTTATCAAATATCATCTTTTGGAACTTATAAATTACTTTAAGTTATTAATCTTATTTTAATATAATTTTATTATAATATTTTTCATATTAAATATACTTATTTGTATTATATAATTTAAATAATATTTTTGATAAACCAGTTGATATTCTTAATAAACTAGTAAAAGCAGATAATTTTGATAAACTAGAAGTAGTAGTAATCTATATATAATCTATAAAATTAAAAAATTAATATTTAATAATATCTATTTAATAATATTAATTAAAGATTATTAAAAATTAGTTTTGATATAGTTAACATTAAATTGAATATATTTTCAGATTGAGAATATATTATTTTAGTAAAAGAACTATTATTTAAAAAATTAATTTGTTATTATATTTATTCTTTAGATATTATTTTAATAAGATTTAAATAAAAAATATAAATAAGAAAAATAGAGTTCATGATAAGTTATTTAAATAAGAATTCTTATTTATTGATTAATAATAGTCTTCTCTTGAAAAATATATAATATATCAATAATTAGAAAAATATATCATATAGAAATAAATAATTTTATCTATTAATTAATAATAATCTTCTCTTGAAAAATGTATAACATGTCAATAATTAGAAAAATATATCACATAAAAATAAATAATTTTATCTATTAATTAATAATAGTTTTGAAATATATATAACATATCAATAATTAAAAAAGCAATAAT